CGCCTTCAGCTCCTCTGAGCGTGTGGTTGCCATCATGACCCTGGCTTCGCCCGTATACGACAAGGCAGCCGGCACCGTCACCTACGACGTCACTCTGCTGGACAACTTTGAGAACTTCAGGTGAACACCCACTGAAAGACGAACGCCTTCTGTGCCAGCTCGACCCGGCCGAGCATTGCTGGGCCTGCGCCACCTCCAGCGCTGCCCGCCTCCAGCGCTGCCGCCTCCAGCGCTGTGTTGCGCCCGCCATGCATGTGGCACAGGGCATGCAGGCTGGCTGGGAACCCGTGCTGGCTGGCTGCCTCAGGCAGTTCGGCAGCGTGAGGCAGGCATCATCCACCTCGCGAGGTGATCACGCGGCCCCCTGCCCTTCCCTGCCCCGCCCCACAGGCTGCTGCACAAGGTGGCTGGGCTGGAGGACCTGCTGGTGCTGACCCCCGACAACCTACCCGGCAACGAGGTGAGCGGGGCTGCGCTGCACCGGGGGTTGTAGCAAGCAGCAGCCCTCACCCGGGATGGGGAGGGGAGGGGCGGCCTGCAGGCCTCAATCGTGAGGCCCAACGTCGAACAGTGGTCAGCCCCCCAGCGGTCCACACGTTGCACAGCGACAAGTCAAACCCCCTCCACACCCGCCACAACCCACCCCACTCCCACGTGTGCACACGCTCACCAGCATCCTGGCGCCCGCGCCCGCCCTGCCGCAGACCCTCCAGCTGGTGTCTCTGATGATTGACGACTGCGCCAACGTGCGTTGATGCACCGCAGTAACACTGCCCGTGCCAGATGCCCGCGTGCGCTTGGTCCCACCCCACAACGCCCTCCCAACCCGCCCATGCACCGGCGACACTGGGTGTTGGGCCGCCCGGCGACTCACGCTCCTCTCTGCCTGCCTGCCTGCCTGCCTGCCTGCCTGCCCGCGCTGCAGTACGTGCCCAACTGCTACTTGGGGGAGCCCCTGGATATGTACTGCACCACTGTGGCTGTTGCAGACAACTGCGGCAGCGCCCCCTCCATGGCCATGTGCTGGGTCGACGCCCCGTGCTCGTGAGTGCCGCCCCCCTTGTGCTGCCAAACGCACACACAGCCCGCTGTGTGTGCATGCCTAGGCGTATTTGTGCGTGGGTGATTGCCTGCGTGGCTTGCCAGGCGTAAGCGGCGTGGGGTGAGGGTGAGGGGGAGGCCAAGGAGGGCCTGGAGGATCTTGCCCAGCGGCGTGCTGGCAGCCCTCGATGCGGGCCATCGGCGCATGGCGTCCCTCACGGCTGCATCTGCTCCGGCCGCCCGCCTCCTCCCTGCAGGTACTGCGAGCCGTGCCGCCCCCAGAACGGCTGCGGCACTGGCTGCGGTACCATGGATGGAACCGCCACGGGCGGCTGCTACGATACGCTCAACGCGTTGTGCGACAACAGCTTCCAGAGCTGCTGCTATGAGAACAACAGCAACCAGCCCGCCGTCGGCGGCTGCTCGGTTGGTTGCTACGGCGAGTGAGCCGTCGACCAGGCCCGAGCGGCGGCGGCAGAGCACCAGCTTCCAATTGGAGCGCGAAGCAAGCCAACTGCTGGCCACCGCTGGCCTCCAGGCCATCACCCCCCTGACCCTTCACTATCTCAAATCGTGTCTGACGGACCGTCCCTCTGGCGGGCGGCATGGCCGAGCCCGCAGCACGCCGCCTCCTGCCCTTGACCGCCGATTTTGGGGCGGTCATGGCAGGACCCACGGCGCGGCTGCCAGGCGCCGCCTGCTGGTGTGCCCACCACTGTATGCGACCCACCCAGCAACCTTGCCCCCAATAAACTCTCGGCCCGCTGCCAAACCGACGTACCATTGTAGCTGCATTCAGAGCTGACACTTGCTTCTTCTTTTGGCCAGTCGTCATCAAACCCGCTGCCTGCAAATTCATCCTTTCTTCGTGCCCGCATCCCCAATTCCTCTACGGTTATCTGTGTGACTGCCCCGCCCCGACCATCTTGTAACTGCGCGGGTGGACTGGCGTGGTCTGTTACAGTGGCACAGTGGAGTGGTGCCAGGCCACGCCGCAGCACCAGAGGCGGCAGCGCTGCTGTGCTACAGGAGGTGTGTGGGGCAGGGGGGCCGCAGTTCAGGTTCTACAGCACAAGACTGGAGGCGTCCGCGAGCAGGAATTGGGTGGCGGTCGGCGGTTCAGCGGGACGCAGGGCCAGCTGTGCTGGGCAGGGCAGGGCCCAGGCGGCGCCACGCAGCCGCACATCGCAGCGGCCAGGCTCGCCCCGGGCTGGCCGGCCTGCCCGGCCCGCAGCTGACCGCCGCCGCTGCTTGCTTCGGCGCCGCTCGCAGGCCCGGGGGGCCAGCTGGCGCGTGCAGCTGCCTGGCAGCTGCTGTCGCCTGCAGCACCCTCACCGCGGGCCCGCCATGGGCACCACCAGCGCCAGCAGGCAGTCGCTGCACGTGTGCCACGCCACGCCCAGCTGGCGGCACACCTCCTCAGACGGCGGCACCAGGTACAGCGCGCGCCGCACGCCAGACGGCGCCAGCGCAGGCAGCGCAACCATGCCCGCCCGCCCCTTGCTGCGCAGGTACTGCGGGGCAGGAGGGAGGGCACAGGCGTGCATGCGTGCATGGGTGAGCGACGCGGCGTGCGTGAGTGTCATGAGCGTCATAGCGTGTGGGGGGTGGTGTGCTCGCGAGGAGGGAAGCGGGTGCGGGCAAGGCAGTGGCGCAGCCAGCCAGTGGCCAGCACACGCCGGTGGCTGCTCACACCCGCCCGCCCGCACTTTGTGCACACACACACAGAGACACACACACAGGCACGCACAAAAGACGCACACACAGGCGCACACACAGGCACACACACCTGCGCAAAGTCGAGCAGGGCGCGGCGCCCGGGGCCGTCTGCCGCCGCCAGCCGCCGCACCGCGCGCTCCCCTGGCGGTACCGCTGGGAACATCTGCGGCGCACGCACGCAGGCGGTGTGTACCATGTATGGGTGGCGAGCGGAGCAAGGGGGATTGGGGTGGCGGCGCAGGCGCTGCTCAGCGGTCGCTGCAGCCCGGCCTGCGCTGGCCGCCGCCCCTGCTTGCCCCCGCCGGGCCCCGCGGTGCTGCCGGCGCGAGGGAGCGAGGCCGGGGGCGGCGGGGGGGCCGGGGACAGCCGGAAGAAAGCAGGCCGCCAAGAGCAGGGTACTGGCTGCTGGCACTGCATTGCAGTACCTTGCGCTGCCGCGCTAATGTAAGACCCTAAAAACCCTACACCCTACCCTCTTACCTGGTAGCAGACGTGCTGCAGGTCGGCTCGGTGCGCCACATCCAGCGTGTGGGGCCACTGCTGGGGCTCCGCCGCCGCCCAGCTCTGCGGTAGCGACCCCTGCGGTACCGCCGGCTGCTGAGGAGGGTCCAGGCACAGCGCCGCGCAGACGGGGGCCCGGCTCTTGGCCACAGCGCCCTGCCAGGCGGGCCGCGCCGCGCCGCCGGGGGGCTGGGAGGCGGGCGGTGGCGGCCGCGGCGGCGCCGCCAGCCGCGGCGGCGGCAGGCTGGGCGGCGGCGGCGGCTGGTGGTGGGCGGGGTGTGGCGGCAGGGAGGGCGGGGCCAGCTGCGGCGGCCGTGGGGCGACGCCGGGTGGCGGCAGGCTGGGTGTCGGCAGGCTGGGTGGCGGCGGCGGGCCGCCGTGGATGCCCGGTGGCAGCGACAGGCTGGGAGGCGGCGGCGGGCGCGAAAGGGGTGGCGGAGGAGAGGATAGGGCGGGGCCTGGCGGTGGTGGTGCGCCTGCTGGCGGCGGCGGCAGGCTGGGTGGCGGCAGGCTGCCGCTCATGGCAGAGTGAAGCCGTTGCAGCGGCGGCGGCGGCGGCGGCAGGGAGGGCGGAGACAGCACTGGAGACAGCGCCGGCTCTGTCGGCGGCGCGGCTGCGGGCGTGCCGCCCGCCGCCAGCTGGCGCTGCTGCTGCTGCTGGGGCGGCTCGCCGCCGTCGGCATCCCACCTCTGCGAGCGGCGCCGCGACGGCGCCTCGCCCGCCGCCTCGGCCGGCGGCGGCGGGGGGGGCGGCGTGGGGA